AATTCAGTTCAACAGCGTTTTGGGTTGTTGTTCTGCAGTCCCACTGAGGGATAGACTAACACAGGAGCTGGGAGGAAAGGAAAGGGAGAAAGGAACCTAAAAAAATTCACCATCAGGGTTCTTATAGGCATGCAGGGAAACCAGGCTTCTCTACATTGCAAAGAGCGGCAAAGCAAGACAAGGCCTATTCTGTGATTACATGTGATACAAATAGATGGACTAAATCATTGTTAAATGGCATGCCTGGGGTGATACAGCAGAGATTATTATTCTGGAAGAGGCAGGGAATGGGCCCTAAGGGAAATGGATGGTAAAAACTATTAACTACATTTGGATGGAACAATCTGGAAAGACTGTGTGGGCCAGAATGTGAGAAAAAAAACAACTAAAGGAAACCCCAGGGGCACATCTTCCTCCTGGATGGACAGAGCCTTAAACCGCCCATTCGAGGCCATGGGGTCTCAGCTGTGCTAGAGGGGTCACCCCAATCTAACACTCTCCTTTGCTCTCAAGAAGGCCCTTAGCTGTCACCTTTCTAGGACCAAAGGAGACACCTTCATAAACTCAGGGGTGGGACTGGGATGTTGGTTGTCTGGTCTAGTGGTTTCCTTTAGGGAGGGAGGCAAAGGGGACAGAAGTAGAGAACAAATACTTTATCCATAGGGCTTCCCTTCACTGGAGAGGGAGAGAGGGGGAAAAAAAGAAAGAAATAGAAGTTCAAAAGCAAATTTGAAAAAAAATTAACATTTGATCCTTTGAGGGAGAGCACATCCATGGATGTTTGCTCTCTTGCCCTTTTTGTACTTTCATGTATTTTAACTTTTTTCCAAAATAAAAAACAGTGACATTTCAAATGATGATTACTATAACAGTTTAGTCCAGAGCCAATTTCATATTGTAACGGATACCAACACAAACCACTTTTGTTGTTGTTGTTCTTTGCTTATTTTCCTTTTTTAAGGAGAGAGACCAAGAGAACTGAAAGTTCTCTGATCACCATTTAAAGAATTCCCTGTCCTTTGGCCCAGTCATACTTCGTCCCATCCATCCCAATCCAAGTGATCAGCAGATCCCAAACACGTATAGCCACGTTTGTATTTCTGACGTCCATCTCCCACACGTCCCTCACCAGAATGGAATCCACAAGGGCAAGATTTTGTCCTCATCACCGTGTCACATCCATGCAGGACAGCCTGGCACACCGTATGCCCTTATTCAATATTTGCTGAGTAAATGAATGAATTCCCAGAACCCACAGGGACTGTCCCTGCACCAGCTTTTGTGTAGATCCCACAGGTCCTCTAAGGCTCCTTTGACTTTTTTGGCCTTGGCTTTGAGGGCCAACCCAGCCCCCGCGAAGTTAATTGCCACCACGTACAGTAAAATAGTGAGATGCAAGGCTAACACCTTGGGAAGATGTCCTGTACCTAGGCCTCTTCTGGAACTTTCTTTCACCAGGTTGGGCTGTTATATGCATAGGAGAGGCCCACAGGGGCAGCCTGAATATCTCATTTACGCTTTTGCTCCCTTATCCTTCTTTTCCTAGCATCCCTGAGAAAAGTACTTTTCTTTCCACCCTGCTGAAGGGTGGTATGGAACATTTTAGAGTAGTTTCAAAATGACATTCAGATTCTTCTTTCTTCTTAATCTCATTTCTTTTTTAAAAAAATTTATTTATTTATTTATTTTTGGCTGCGCTGGGTCTTTGTTGCTGCGCGTGGGCTTTTCTCTAGTTGCGGCGAGCAGGGGCTACTCTTCCTTGTGGTGCGCGGGCTTCTCATTGCGGTGGCTTCTCTTGTTGCAGAGCATGGGCTCTAGGCATGTGGGCTTCAGTAGCTGAAGCACATGGGCTCAGTAGCTGTGGCTCGCGGGCTCTAGAGCACAGGCTCAGTAGTTGTGGCGCACGGGTTTAGTTGCTCTGCAGCATTTGGGATCTTCCCGGACCAGGGCTCGAACCCGTGTCCCCTGAAGCGGCACTTAACCACTGCGCCACCAGGGAAGCCCTTTATCTCATTTCTTTACCAGCCTTCAGCCTTTTATTTTTCTACTTTTTACTTCCATTGGAGTTTACCATTTACTTTGTTTTTCTACTTCCTCAAAGCCTATGTAACAAATATGAATTTTACCTTCAGAAGAAAGGAGTTATTTCACCCACCAAGTGAGTGTCTAATGGAAAAACTAAACTAAAAAAAACTTTATTAGAGCTTTAAGATCAAAGTGAGTTTTTAGTTCTCTGGAAAAGAAAGCATGGAGGACAAGGATGTAGGGGTAATCGTCTGCTTGTCCCAGACCTCCTGGTTCATGGAGACAAATCCTCATCTCCCCACCCTGGACCTAGGAACGGACACTAGAAATGCAAGTAATCCTGGAGCCAGCAGGGAATTTCCATTCAAGGAACGTGATGGTAAAAACCTGGAAAACAGAACGGCCCCAACTCTATTCCCGGTGTCTTTACTCTCACCAGACCATGCTGAGTGAAGATGTCCCTTGCTTAACTTCCAAGAAGACATCCGAGTTAGCCCCTACCTACATGGTTGGTGTTGCCCAAATGATTGTTTGCAGCAGTGCTTTCGCCTCATTTGAGAATCGCTGTCTTATTCAGCTCATCTTGTTATGCGGTCCATTACAGAGCTTAGGTATCTGGGTGTCATTGAGAGCCATTAGCTCAAACTGTTGAGGTGTATCCGGACACCTCAAGTTTCTCTCACAGTCCCCAGGAGCTGTACAATCCCAGGCAGCCGACTGGAGACCTGGGTTCTAGTTCTAAGCTTTTAGGGATCATTCTGAGATTTGCTGGTGTCACAGTCCTGCCCTTCAGCAAGATCATTCAGAGAGGTTTCCAGAAACCTCAGAGTTTGCCTAAAGCCATGTGTTCACTTAGGAAGTGCCCCTTCCGATCTGTCTCTGACTGATCTGGGACAGGTCCTCCAAAGCACATACCTGTCCCAGACAACCAAGGATACTGGTTGCCTATGAATAATCCAGACTTTTTTTTTTCTCTTCTCTTCTGGGCAGAGCAAGTATGGGGCCCACAGTCGCACACCCACAGAGGAAGTGTGGAGTCCTTGTCCTCAATAATAAACATTTATTGAGCACTTGCTGTATAATCAGATCCAGTCCTAAGCAATTCACACACATTGCCGCTATTTTTTTTTTTTTTTGCGGTACGCGGGCCTCTCACTGTGTGGCCTCTCCCGTTGCGGAGCACAGGCTCCAGACGCGCAGGTTCAGCGGCCATGGCTCACGGGCCCAGCTGCTCTGGGGCATGTGGGATCTTCCCGGACCGGGGCACAAACCCGTGTCTCCTGCATCGGCAAGCGGACTCTCAACCCCTGCGCCACCAGGGAAGACCCCACATTGACGCTTTTAACCTTCACAAAAACCCTGCCAGTAAGTAGGTACCCTTAGCCCCATTTTACATATAAGAGAACAGAGATTAGGTGACTTGTCCAGGGCAGTGGCTAGGAAGTGCTCCAGCAAGGATCCTTGGCCGGTCAGGGCCAGCACTCTTAACTTCTGTGGTGCCCTGTGCTGTCTTTTCTGCTTTGGGGTGTTGAGAAAAGGAGGGAGACCTCACACAAGCGATTGATCTGTTAAAGAGGAAAAGGTAATCATCCCAAAAGATTTTACAAGCAGATTGAAAAAAAGTCAACTCCTAGGCCTGAAAAATTGCTGCCTGGTGGCTGTCAAGGGGGACCCTCGCTATCCCTGGGGAGGTAATCTCTGCACTTCAGCTCTGGTGTGACTGGTGACTTCTAGAGTTCAGAGGTGCCCTGGTCACATGTGCGGGAAGGCTGAAATATTTGGGTAGTGCCCAGGGGGTGGGCAGCCAAAATCGTTATCCAGCCTGGCAGCCTTAAACAGAGGAGCAGATGACTAGAAACCCCCAAACAAAGTTGCTTTTCGTTGTCTTCTCAGTCTTTGTGGGGAATGAGGTCAAGAATGGGAGATCTAATTCCACTCCGAGTCTCAGGCTCGGTAAATTCAGAACAAAACTACAGCAGCAAAAACGTTGCTTCAGTCCCATAATCTCTCCCTGTGAAGATCTCCAAGCGGGCAAGCCCCCCTCGGAGGCTACCCTGCTCTGGCTTTCTCTGTGGGCGCCGTCTCCCCTTCCTTCCTGCCCGGTGCCCAGTGCCGGGTGGCCGGGCTCCAGCCGCGCAGCTGCCCGGGCCCCACCGGCATAGGGAGCGCCTCTGGGATAACGCGGAGCTTGGGATGCTCGGGATGCTCGGGGCAGAGGCTCCTTTCTGCTCAGCTCGCCCATCCGCTGAAAGGTTCTCCCCTTTGACTGCACCGGAGGCAAGAAGTAGCTTGCAAAGGGAGGATTTTCAGCACAGTGCACAGGGAATCAAACCTCTATGAGCAATAACGTTGATCTGTGGAGTGGAAAAGCAGGGGCGGTGCTGGCGTCCCCTAGGCAACGGGCTGACAACGTTCACTCCTTAGACAATCTTGCAACTGGCCACGGCTCTTTCCTGACAGTACCAGTGGCTGAACTCCGGAAAAATAATGAAGGCTATGGATGGGATATGGTGAGTGCCACAAGATTCCCCGCTCCAAATTAGGGCTGCTTTTCTTGTGTTTGAACTCGGATTAGAAAAACAAGCTAGCAGCCCATGACTGCTGACACAAATAAATCCATAACTGTACTGGTAAACACTTGAAATTCATCCTTGCAGTAAAAGGGAACAAAAGCAGAACTATTTGCCTCCTTTCCTGGTAACATCCAGGGCTGTGATGGAAAACTCCGTTATTCCTAAGAAAGATGCATGATGAGCATGTGGTTTTCTCCAAGTTGGTTTTCTTCTTTAACCCAGGAGCGTCTATTCCATAGACCGCAGAGCAACGGCCACGACCGGGCTGTGTGCGTGTGCGGGCGTGTGGTGTGCATCTCGTTTTCCCTAATTACTACAGCATAACTTCCTCTTTGCTTTACCAGACTAAGTCTCGGCGATGAGACATCACGTGTAAACTTCTTGTCTGTTTGCTTTTTTCAGTTCTAGGGAAAATCCGAACTGCAGTTGGCAGTGCCCAACTTCTTATGGCCCAGAAATTCTACCAGTTCAGAGAACTGTGTGAAGAAAACCTGGTAGGTATCCTTACCCATCACTACCATCTTCCCTGCCTAGTACCACGAGAAGAACCTGTTGTCAAGACCGGTCCAACTAAAGTAGAACCAAGTCACAGCCCATCGGACTCTCTTACCTGGGATAGAGAGTTTTCTGATGAATCATATATTTCCTGCCTTTCTTAAAATTAAAAATATTGATGTTATACTTAAGTAATCTTTGAAGAAAGAATCCAATCAGGTTAAAACTCCATTCCCCTCCCCTTTTTTGTTCGGTAACTGAAGACTTTCCATTTTTCTGGGCTTCTGATTTCATTATTCTTACCAAACTATGGAGCAGACTGATACGTAAAAAATAATATTACAGCAAAAATATCATTTTCGATAATGAGTTTCTTTCTGAAATAGCCATCAGGGCTTATTTTCTTACCAGAGTTCTCTGTTTTAATTCAAGAATCAGAAGTGGAAGGTGTCATAAAGTATAGATTTGATCTCCCTGAGACCAATGAATCATTCATTGGTCAAAATAAGCCAGGACAAAACCAATACTAGTATCAACAACATTTTAAAAAAATTACCAGCAAAATACAAGGGCAACAGCTTCCTCACAGAAATTTTTTTAAATGCTACCTTCTCTACAAGTGTCATTCCACAAACCTAGCTTTTATTGGTCAATTAATGATCAAGTTGGGTCTAAATAAAGAAAATGAAAAGCAACTAGTTTATCTCCTGGAAGGTTAAAAACATGAATCATTTGCAATCTGATTGACCCAGACTATGATTTTAGAGTTCTAACCACATCCTGTTAACAAGGACAAATACAGACTGAATGGAATTTATCTAGACAGGGCTCAACCAAGAGCAGATATAAAGCCGGCAAAAGTTGGTGCTCTCCGTCTCTCTTCACCAGGCTTTGCTTTTTGAATCCTCCCCTTGGGGCTATCCTTTCCTTCCTTCTCACCCCCACCCCTGACATCTATAGTTTGTTTTCTCCTCCCTCAGCAAAAATTACCTGACCCTTCTTTCAGCGTCTCAGAAATTCTATTCTGAATTATGAGATAATATATATTCGTAGATGTATTGATAAGTGATTCAACCAATATCTTATTGAGCTTCACTACGTGCAAGGTACAGAATCCCTGCTAATCTGTAAACTTGCGGATGTGTCACAGATCTTTTTGTTTGTTTGTTTGTTTGTTTGTTTTTGCGGTACGCGGGCCTCTCCCTGCTGTGGCCTCTCCCGTTGCGGAGCACAGGCTGTGGACGCGCAGGCTCAGCGGCCACGGCTCACGGGTCCAGCCGCTCCGCGGCATGTGGGATCCTCCCGGACCGGGGCACGAACCCGTGTCCCCTGCATCGCCAGGCGGACTCTCAACCACTGCGCCACCAGGGAAGCCCCACAGATCTTAATTAATATGATTCTTTGCTCTTGTAAAGAATCATATGTAAAAAAGTTCACATAAAGCCATATTTCTCAAACTGGCCAAAAGACACAGGTGGAGACCAATAAGTACACGCTACAGGGCAAACACAGCACACCTTTGAAAAGAATTATAGAAGCAGGAGCAGAAGCGCACTGTGTCCTCAGAGCTTTTAAGTTTATGATCTGGTTAAATCCTCAAAGCAACCGTCTGGAGAATACAGTGACATTATTTTTATGACGGTTTTACAGTTGAGGAAAATGGGCCTGGAAGAGCTCAGTGACTTTCCAGGGCTGCATGGTAAGAGGCAGAGCCAAGGTTCAAATCCCAGTGTGTTCGACTTCAATCCCTGTAAAGACCCCCCAGCATTTGAGTCCCCTCCTCACCCCGATCGCTCAGCTCCATCTCCTCTGCAGCAGGAAGCATGGTGGCCTGGTGATGGCACCACTTAGGTCTACAAAGCTGCATAAAAGCAGCACTGAGATTGGTCACAACCAGGGCCAGCTCTCCTTGCTTGAGTTCTTACTCTGAGGAGGACACCTGAAAACACTTGCACCTTGTCTCCGACTCGACTCTCGGGCATAGAATAAATGGATTGCAACAAAAGTCAACCCAGGGACCTGGTCCTCCGTATCCTTCTCAACCTCTACCACCTCTGACCTCCAAGTGGCCTGGTTCATACTCAAGCGGGTTGTGCATCCCCTTCTGTGCTGGGGTGTCACAGGAGACTGGCTGAGCACCCAGGCTCTTTCCCC